TCTTAGAAGAAAACATAGGCAAAGCTCTCTTGGACATAAATATGAGCAACTTCATGAACATATCTCCCTGGGAAAGGGAAACAAAAGCAAAAATGAACAAGTGGTACTATATCAAGCTGAAAAGCTTCTGTACAGCAAAGGACACCATCAATAGAACAAAAAGGCATCCTACAGCATGGGAGAATATATTCATAAATGACATATCCAATAAGGGGTTGATTTCCAAAATATACAAAGAGCTCACGCACCTCAACAAACAAAAAGCAAATAAGCCAATTAAAAAATGGGCAGAGGATCTGAACAGACACTTCTCCAAAGAAATTCAGATGGCCAACAGGCACATGAAAAGATGCTCCACATCGCTAATCATCAGAGAAATGTAAATTAAAGCTGCAATGAGATATCACCTCACACCAGTAAGGATCGCCAACATCCAAAAGACAAACAACAACAAATGTTGGCAAGGATGTGGAGAAAGGGGAACCCTCCTACACTGCTGGTGAGAATGTAAATTAGTTCAATCATTGTGGAAAGCAGCATGGAGGTTCCTCAAAAAACTCAAAATAGAAACACCATTTGACCCAGGAATTCCACTCCTAGGTATTTACCCTAAGAATGCAGGAGCCCAATTTGAAAAAGACAGATGCACCCCTATGTTTATTGTAGCACTATTTACAACAGCCAAGAAATGAAAGCAACCTAAGTGTCCATCAGTAGATGAATGGATAAAGAAGATGTGGTACATATAGACAATGGAATATTATTCAGCCATAAGAAGAAAACAAATCCTACCATTTGCAACAACATGGATGGAGCTAGAGGGTATTATGCTCGGTGAAATAAGCCAGGCAGAGAAAGACAAGTACCAAATGATTTCACTCATATGTGAAGTATAAGAATAAAGAAAAAAACTGAAGGAACAAAACAGCAGCAGACACACAGAACCCAAGAATGGACTAACAGTTAACAAAGGGAAAGGGACTGGGGAGGATGGGTGGGGAGGGACAGGGGAGAAAAAGGTGCTTTATGATTAGCAGACATAATGTTGGGGGGGGAATGGGGAGGGCTATACAACACAGAGAAGACAAGTAGTGATTCTATAGCATCTTACTCTGCTGATGGACAGTGACTGTAATAGGGTATGTGGGGGTGATTTGATGATGGGGGAAGTCTAATAAACATAAGGTTGCTCATGTAATTGTAGACTAATGATAGCAAAATAAAATAAATAAGTAAATAAATAAAAAGAAATAGTCTTTTGTGAACACTCTTTGGCATTAGTCCTATAAAATCAGTTGAACTATCTTATGAAACACAAGAGTCATTGAGGAAGGGTAGAATCAGGACTTATCTCAGAATAAGAAAGGACATGGTGGTCCTTTGTAGTTAGCTGGTTAGCTGCTTAGCCATTTTGCCATTTCTTAAGCACAAAAGAGTTACAAAAGTGTAGAAATGTGTCTCAACTGTCACTGCTCCCCAGGAGCATAGGGCTCAGATGAAATTCAACACTGTCACTTTATAATAAGCTCTGTGCTTCATGGCCTCTTTGACTATGGAACCCTGACACACATACACTGATGGCATAATCCTTAAGAGATCTTTCTATGCCTTGTAACATTAAATACTATATGAAAATTTTATACCATTCAAAGCTTTTTTATGTACAACATGACTATTTGAAGATTTTTTTAACAGGAAAAACACATTTGATGTTTAAAAATAATTTAAAGGCAGCATGACAAATTACTAAACAGAAAACCATCTTTTAACTTAATTCCCATTGAACTTGCAGGTAGAGAACTACAGTGATTTTAAGGACAATAAGTATGTTCTGGAAGGATCTGCTATGATTGAGATGAACACTGGCCAGTACTTCTTGGGCATCTAGTGGGGGAGGAGAATGGGGAAGGCTGTACAACACAGAGAAGACAAGTAGTGACTCTATAGCATCTTACTACACTGATGGACAGTGATTGGAATGGGGTATGTGGTGGGGACTTGATAATGGGGGGAATCTACTAACCAGAACGTTGCTCATGTAATTGTATATTAATGATACCAAAAAAACAAGACATTGAATAAGGAGAATGTAAATTAGATTCCTAAAAAAGAAAATAATTTTTAATCTGAGCTCGAGATTCCTGGTAGCAAACTTTTAATGTGTGATGAGTAGCAAGCTATGTGAAAAGCAGTAGAAGGCCAGCTTCAAGAAGAAAGGTGAAAGGTAAAGAAATGAATATTTTGAAACCCCATACATGGATTTTTTTTAAAGAAATATAAAATAAAGAATGGACAATATTGGTGGTTCATTAGCATAACTGGCACAATGCAACATCCAGAGATGACAACCCTCCAGGACAGCCTGAAGACGGAACAAGTATCTTCAGTTATTTTTGTACCATGGATGCAGGATAATTCAGCAGTTAAGTGAGTGTTGGTTATTATCAAATGTTAAAATTCCTTGCACCGCCCCCCATGCCTGTAAAGAAAAATAGCTTTCATTTTGTAGGATCTTTCAGTGTTTACAGCTGTTAAAAAATTGAAGTCCTAAAAGTTTAGTTCAAAGAGTAGGATGCCATTACCATGAATGCTCTTTGAGAACTATTCAGACTTCTCCTTAATCTAATGAAGATGTCTGAAAATGGAATATTATCACTACTACTATGAAATGACATGTGCAGAAATAGTGATATAGAATTAGGAAAAGCAGCCTAGTTTTCTTAAATCTGAATTCTGAGGCCGATGCGGTCCAGGAGAGTTTACTTCACAACTAAAATGATCAAGTATAGAGGATGGTTATCATTAGTATAGTGATTCACAGCCCTTCTTTCACCCCATTAGCCCTTCTACCTTCAATGACACGCACCTCCACCCTGCAGCAGAACTTACGACATGGATCCCGTGAACCATACATAGTTCCCACCCAGGGTGCAGACCCTCAGGTGCGTTGCCACTTGCCGTACAGTGCAGTCCCAGCCCACACCAGCCATGCAGAGCTCATGGTGCTGTCCATGCTCTAGGAAACAAAATGACACAAGATTGTCTAACTGAGAATATTCATATGGACCCCTGTTCCCTCCACACATTTCGCTGAAACAACTATAAGGAAATTTAAAATAGGATTAATTCATTCTAATGCTGAGATGAGAGAGAACAACAAATCAAAGATCAAAACCAGTTTCCTGAAGATGGAAAACCAAAGGGATACTACTGAAAGGTGAACTAGAACAGGAGTTAAATTCCAGAAGAATGTCAGCAAAGTGTCTGTGGTGGAGGTAACAGCTAGTACCATAGCCGTGCAATGACTGCAGTCCAAGAGTTGGTGAGAACAAAGATAAGAATCTGAAAGTGGTTAATTAAAGAGTTTTGAGAAGTGTTTTGAGCTTGGCTCTTACTTCTCTCCCTTGCCTCTCTCTTCTCAAAGCATTGTGAATGTTTCAAGGGTAAAACTGGAACAATTATCTCTAAAAATGCCAACTGGTCTGTGTGAGGAATCGTAGGGACCTGAGTGTGGTTATAGGCACCCCAGAGTAAAGCCCTTTTTGTTGGTGTTGGTGGGAGAGAAGCAGGGGCATACCCAGTCTGGCTAAATGACAGGTAGCAAGCATACACATGGGGGCTGCAGTCAGCTTTCCCATTCGGGTGAGGGACTTAGTAGGGAAATTAGACTGTCCATATTTGGAGGCTTTCCATGCTGTATGCCCTCATTAGCAATTCAGCTCTTCCTCCATGAATGAGAATGGACAACCAATAACCAAATTTTTTTCAATGACAATAAAGGCACAAAACAAAAAGACAGCTAACCCTATAGGAAGCAGAGGTAATTCAGTAATCAGAAGACAAGTTTTTTAAAAAATTCTCCAAGAGATTAGGAAAGATATTAATCCATAAGACAAGAATTGGTTACCATGAAAAAGAAGTGAAGAAAAATAGTTTTTTAAATTTACAAGTACAATTGGCAATCTGGAGCTTAATAGTAGTCACCTGATTTCAAATCTCCTTACACTCTACCCAAATGATATAAAATCAACAATAAAAGTAAAAAAATTACACAAAGCTCCCATTGTCAGCATTACTAGGAGACAGAGAAAATCATGTTTGTGAAATCACATGTAAGAGGATAAAACAAATTCCAAAAAATATTGGCAATTACCTATAGGAGTAGAAAAAAAATTGGAGTAGAAAAATTATTTTGTGACCATAATGGTAAAGATAGATTCAGACTAGAATCATCAATGGATGCTAAATCTTAGAGGGGAATATTGTTGAAGGGAGGGATATTTATGTGGTCTTAAAGAACATCCCCACAGATTGCTTATTAGTTGCTAGAGAGGGACAGTAACTACACACAGAAGAAATCAGACATGTTCACTCAGTGATCCAAAGTAACATGACTATTGAGGACAAATGGGCATTGAGTGATACATTAGTTCGCTAGATGAAGTAAAACAAACTAGGAGGCTTAAACAACAGAAATTTATTGTCTCCTAGTTCTGGAGGCTAGAAGTCCAAATCAAGGTGTTGGTAAGTTTGGTTTCTTCTGAGGGTTATGCAGGAAGGATTGGTTCTAGATCCTTGGCTGTAAAACATACATACACACACACAGAGACCATGTGCCTACACATGCAAATGATGAAGCAACTGGGGAAAAATGTTGACAACTGGTAAATCTGGGCAAAGGATATGTAGGTGTTTTTAATACTGTTTTGCAAACTTTTCTGTAAGTTTGAAATTGTTTCTAAATAAAAAGTTAAGAAAGGTACAGATTGCTGCAATTTTTAAAAATCAGCAGAAACTTTGTATGCAAAGATCTAGGAAACCTCACATTTTTTAGCAAAATGACCAAGAGATAAAGAATAATACACAAAAGATGAGAAAAGAGGTTGGGTATAATCCATATAATCAGTGTTCCAGAAAAAAAGAAAACAAGAAAAGGAAAATCAGAGAGTATTCAAAGAAATGATAGGAGGATGTGTTCTCAGAGATGAAGAAAAACCTATGCTCAGAGTTCTTTCAAGAAGAATGAATGACATAATTTGAAAGGACCCACACTCACTTCCACACTTGTGAAATTCCAGTACACTAAGGATAAAGGGAGCATCTGAAAGATTTTGGAGCAAAAAGCAGGCTATCTACAAATTAGCAACAATCCAATTGGTATCAAACTTGTCATCAGCATTAAGAAAATGAAGGTTTTCAAAGTGAGACCTTCTGGTGAGAACCAGCAATGCTGGAATCCTGGGAAAACACATAATGATGTCGTGCAAATTCCAAGGGAGAACTTAATATTTTGTTCCTAACCAAATCATCAGCCAAAGGTAAGGACAACATGAAAACAGTTTTAGATTTGTGATTCAGAAACAGATTACTGACACACCCACTCTAAGAAAAGTATGAGAAGATACTGACTTGAAAAAATGAAAAAATGTATACAAGCAAAATGAAGACAAGGGATCCAATTTATTGGGTATAATCCAGAAGTATAACAAAAAGAAATACAGAATGACATCTATCATAGAGTCTGGAAATTGTTGGTTCTAATTCAAATGGCAAAGTTTTCAAGATATCTTCAAGAAGACAATTAATTACATATGACAAAAATTGTCTGATTAAAAAACTGGATGGTCCTGGTGATACAGAGAAATCATATGACACCACTAATACAGTAAGAGCAGCAGCAATGTCATGAAAGCAGATGCTAAGCCGCCTTCCTGGGTCTCCTCCCTTCTCCCTCCACTCCCTCGGTCCCTCCCTCTTTCCCTTCCCTCCTTCTAACCTACCTCCTTTCTTTCTCTTCCTCTGTCTCTCCTGATCTTTCCCTTTCTTCTTGTTAAAATGCTATAAAGTGAAGAGAAAGGAGTTTTTTTCAATTATCCATTGGGAAAGTTATCTTTTCTTATATTGGTCTCTAGACAGTTAACACATCTAATTCTTTCCAGTGTGCCTTTAGGAGCCCCTTTCAGTTTTGAACAAACTACACGTTGATCTTAGTGCTCCCCGGAATACTTCAGAAAGCGCTCTAGTGTCTCTACCTTTACATGCCTTCTCCATCCTTGGAGAGGACCACCTGACCACCGGCTCTGGACTCTGTGACCAATTTTGTCCTTTTTTCTTCAATATTCAGTATTCAATCTTCGGCATTGTCAACCCCACTCTGTCTCAGTTTTCATGGCTGGGCACTAACCAACTCTCCACTTGTTCTCTAGTTCCAGGAGCCCTGGGCCCCGCTCCCCTGGCTGGAGCTCCTGCATCAAGCACGCACCTAGTGCGCTGGTCACAGGCACAGCTCATGCTTCATTTCTGCCACTTCCCCTACAAGGAAGGGCAAGAAGTCAGACCTGTCCAAAGTTGAGTGCTGCCTGGATTTCTATGTGTGGCTGGCTCCCACGTTTACCTTTCGAGTCCAATCTTGACAACAGTCTCTCACATGCTTAAACCATACTGGTGTCAGCTGCTCAACTAGATTCCCATCTGCTGGCTGTTGTCACCTTCTCTGGAATCCATCTACCTAAAATGGCTAATTTTTTGGAAAGTGGGTCTGGCCACCAAATTGGGTGTTTCTAGCTCCAGATCTTGACCTTTCTGTTCTGTCCAACCTGCTGAAACAATACATTTGTGCTCTCGACCTCCTTCCCCCTCCCTGGAACCTGGATTTCCCATGGTGGTGCCATTGCTTTTCCCACTTCAGTTGTGACTCTTCCCCTGACTCCCTGACACACAGAGGAGGGTAAAACTTTTGACTGTGCTGATGCTTTCACTGTGCCTATTCACCATTTTTATTTACACCTACACTTGCAGATGCTAAATCCTTGTTCTGGCCCTTATCACTTTGAGCCTGACCTAATTGCAATCATACCCCAACTGTCTTCTCTGCCTTTTATTTTTCATTCTGCCAAGGTTCTCTTTCTTAAAGAAAAAAAATGTTCTGCTAAAAACTCCCTCTCCTGCTCTGAGTCCACAGTGGCTTTCTATTTCTTGGAAGAATCATGAATCATAATTCCTTGTGCTGGAGTCAAGGCTCTCTACTGGTTTTGAGATACCCATTGATGTTGACTTAGATCCTCTATTTGTAAAATGTGTATAAAAATGCCATTCAATTGGGCCAGCCATTGAGAAAGATGGCATGTAAAAATTGTTGGGAGACTTTTGATTATCTAAATGTCACATAAATATTTAGTAATACCAACAGTAATCATCCCCCTGTTCCCAAGGAAACACAGTTGAGAAATGACCTTCACTGCAGGATCTGTAATAAACAGACCTTGTAATTCCTTGATAACAGAGCTCATCTCTCACGCACATGTCTAGCACTATAGTGTCTGGTGAGTACTACGTGCCCTGAGTTAAAAGATCAGAAATTCAGTTAAAAGAGGGGATTGTGAGAGAAGTAGTGAGACTCTCTAGGTACTAAATGCCATGTGGCCATTGTGTAGGTAAAGAAATAAAATATTCTCCGTTAGTAGCATTGGTAGAAATTCTCTTATGCCAGATGTTTTATTCTAAATAAATCCTAATTAGTTGCACATATGTTTGCTACATTGTCATTTAAATGTAAACCTGACTCTTCTAGCCAACTCTGTCCCTGTTGTACTTGGTATCAGTTACTATGGGCCATGACTCATATAATATTATTATATTAAAGTTTTTGACTGAGGAAAATTTCAGTGTATCATCATATAAAATAAATAAGGATAATTCATCATGCTTACTCTGTCTTGATTTTGGCCTAAAACATTACTTTAGTTTTCATTATATTTGTCTCTTGAATGAATTAAAGAAAATTTGTTAAAATTAGTCACAAATGATTTGTGCAGAAGCTGTACACAAAATATTTGATAGATCAGTAGCTTTAACTCAGATGAAAAACTTATGAAGTTAGATTTTCAAAAAAATCTTTCATATATTCCTGGGCTTGGCTTTGAAATTTTTAACTTGGCTCTACTAATTCTGTGATTTTCAGACCATGTGCTAATTGTCCTTGAAAACAGTTTCTTCTCACACAACAATGCTTATGTA